ATATATATATATATATATATATATTGTTATTATTAAACCGATATTTGATTTCTATTGGTCTACCGCCTAGTTTTTGTAAACGGTTTTCATTTCTATATCTTAAAATCTGCTCGGTTTTTCCAGTGAGCTCTACTTCGTGGAAACGCCATTTTTATGCAACAGAAACCTGCATGTCTAGTTTTGTATCACGCCGAGGTAAACTGCATTTGAGACTTTGTCTCAAATTCTACTACGCGCCCTACCTAGACAGTCTTTTCGGTCCCATAGGCGCATTCCGGAGCATGATTGCCAACCATGCGGTCTAAGTAGGCAGCACAATAGATTCCGACATATAGAAGACGCCCGCGGAAGGTGATTCACTCCGTAGCAGAAACACATATCGATACTGAATTTCTACAGTCATATCTATGCTTAAAATACACCTTGCAGTTGTTTTAAAATATTAACGCATGTGGTCACCGTACTTTGATGTATTTAGGGCTATTTTGTAGTTTAGAGATTGGGATTTAAAGTGTTATTTGTGGGAAGCGCTCACCTGTAGAGCAAGTATCGCTTGAGTTAGTCACTCTCATTGTACCGCGAATCTCCGGAAATATCTCTCTCGTCTCACAGGTAGCCGAAACAATCTTCTCTCTACGGAAGATCAAATGTGCCTCATTTTAATCCTCTAATTTCGTTTTTGAGACATACACGTCTTAGTTTGTTCGACATTTTGTTGTTAGGACGCTTTAATTTATATTTTGTTCCGCGTGCACTTGTAATGGGCGTGTTGTTGTTTGATTTCAGCTGAGAATAACAAGCCTGTGTTTTTTTCTTACAATACACAAATACTCGTTTTATTTTGTCAGCAGAAGTGGAAGTCTGAGAAGAAACGTCTACTGATAGTTATTCTCCTGGTGGTCTCTCAGAAATGGACCCTATGGATGAAGGAATGCGTTACACTCCTGGTTCTTCGGTAAGATTCATCCGGCCTTTACCATATTAACAACTTAATATATTTTTAACCTTTTAAGCAGCCTTAAACACGTAATGTTTACTGAAATATAACATATCTGTCCTAAAAGCTGTGCTGTGGTCATTTTTATCACATGAATTCATGTTGTGTCAGCCTGTTTAGTAGAAGGATATCAAGATCTGCAAGGGCTGGAAGTTTGAAACTATAAATAAGAGTGTGGTTATGGTGGTATTGGCATTGCTACCACTTATGTCTATTAATATCAAGGCTCCCACGCTCATAGAAAACCTGTAAATATCAGGAAATCGTACAAGTTTGGTTTCCAAGCCTCAAAATGTGTTGGAAAATTGGCTACATTCATTTCTTTATTTTGATCTGAAAGGCCTTGTAGGTTGACTATAAGATGTAATGACATTGCACAACCTAATGTTTAAGTGCATTAATCTCTTTATGCTACCAATGTAATGTTACCAAACTTAAAAGTGTGCCACCACTGTCACCTCAAGAGGTTTCACTCCATGATTTGTTTAAAATGTCATTTGCTGTCTGTAGTAACTCCATAAGAACAAGCTGGGGTGGTCTGCTGACATTTATTCCTTTTCTTTTCATCTCAATCGGTGCATGTGTAGGGGATTTCATTTCTATTGATCATCAATAGACGTGCGTGTTTAAGTCGTTCTGCTGACTGGATTAGCTGCGCTTCATTGTCGTATGTGAGGATAGGGTGTCAATAGACATTCACAAGACTTTAAATGAAGTGCTTCCAGTCTACAGCAGCAGTTAATGTCTCTGGTGATTATAGGTAACTGTCATCTTAAGGGATACACTGAATAAAAAAAAAAACGACCCAAAAAGTAAAACAATTCTGTATCCAAGATTGTATTAGATGAAGTAATGTCACACAGCAAGTCCCTGATTGTCATGTCCATGTGAGCATAAACACAGATCTTCAGGTGGTCCGTGTAAAATCAGTAGCAGCGGGCAGAAAAGTCAACATGATGTTTTTCCGCCTGCTGCTATTACACAATAGACTGTCTGCTTCTCCCATCACACCACATTTACACAATCCAATAGTCAATAAATCTGACAGAGAAGCTTTTCATGTCATCTGCCATCTGTGTACGCGCAACTCATTTATGTTTTCCCACATTCTGTTGCACTGTATACTGTACAATCTTATATATGAAATATCAGAGTGTTTGCTAGTTACTGTGTGCTGTAGATTGTGCAGTTGATGTTGCTTACCTTCAAGGGTCAATAAGTTAATTCATCTAAACATTTATCTGTGTATATAAAATCATTTTTATCATAAACATAATTCAGAATAATAACACAATGTTTTGTGGCAGTGAAACTGTGAATGTTGAATATAGTATTTCATTTGTACTGTTTGCAGAAGCTGCAAGAGATTACGTAACACACAGTATTTACAACAATTGATTGTATTTGCATTTGCTGACCCATTGTACACGAGACTGACAAGCTTGACAATTTGTTCTCTGACAGATGGACAGAGACTAACCCATATCCATTCCTGATGAATATTTGTACAACTCGATCAGATCTTTTGGTATCTTCATTCTGAGATTGCCTTTTGAATATTAATTTAGTTGTTTAATTTCTGTACTGTATCTCATTTTAAGTTCAGTTTACCAAATAGATTCGGACTTCACCTTTTTATGATATATTAATATCTGATATTAATAAATTGTATTATTGTAGGTCTATTAGGCTATATTGTATTTGGTTGTATTGTATGCTATTATAAAGAAGAAACATAGTTATTTCAACAAAAAAACATCAAATTTGAAATGTAACGCAGGGAATTCTGGGAATGTCAATTTACGGTTATTCACTGTAAATTATACGGTCTTTTTCACTTCCAAAAATGGTATACTACCGTAAATTTAATGTCCGATACATGTAATGTCCAATACAGTTTTTCACTGTATATAGTAGGGGAATTTACCGTTAACCATTTAACAGGTTTTTACTGTAGAATTTTTACAGTATTTTACCGTTAAATTCACAGTCATTTTTTTACAAACAGTCACTTCTGGTGAATTGTTTGGTTTTATGTGGCGGTGACCAACAAGGGTTTTTCAGCAGCCAATGTGGATACCACAATCTAGGGTACACTGTAAAAATGGTTGTAAATAAAGTTTATTGAAGTACATTTTCAGTTTTTATGTGTAAACATTTCATGTTTCATTTAGTATGTTAGTTGCCATTTGTGAGTGAAAATTGTAGTATATCCTACACCATTTACACCATGTACTAGGTGACTGTTGACCAACACCAATAAATGTTTTGTACTATTTAAAGACAGCAAATGAGACATACACTAAAGTGCATAGTGTATGTCTCATTTGCTGTCTTTAAGTACATGCATTGGTATTCTTTTTTATTACACAAAAAAGAAAATACTATTTCAGTTTTTGTACTTCAAATATTAATTTTAATTCAATGTTACTTGCCATTTGTGAAATTTACTAGCAATTTCTGAGTGAAATTTGTCTTAAATCCTGCATCAACATTTTTTCAGTGTATTACGTGACCGTTGACCTGTATAATACCAAGTGTATTATACTAGCAAATGTGACATGCACTACATTGCAAAAATAAAATTAATATTCCTTTTTACAAAATATTTACTCAGATTAACACAAATTTTACTAAAGAATATGTGAAAACATAATGTTCACCCTTTGATAGGTCTGTTTTTAAAATCTCTAGAGATCTCAAATATCGGTCTGCCACTAGTTTGGACGTGCTTGAAGGTAAAAATAGTGACACAACTTAACTGCATTATTCAGCAGTTTGATAGTCGCGCAGATGTTTTCAAAATAATCAAATGCCATCTCTCTTTCTGTCAGATGTAGTGTTGCAAAAAAGTTGGTTCATTCAAAAAGGTTTTTATAAATGAACCAGTTCAAAATATCCTGCACGTAGTGTGGTTTCAAGTTTTATGTGTTTATTGTAAAAGTAAATGTATGATAAATATCTGTAAATACTATAAAATGACTGAGTTATAAGATATAAATGATCAAATCTATTGTATAGATTCCATATAGATTTTGACATAGTTTAAAACATTACATTATGGCTAACTTGTAGCTGAGCACTGTTGTGTATGCAACACTACTAATTAAATGGGTTGGTTAAGTGAGCAGATTAAGTGTTTTGGTGCACATGAGAAGAACTGATGTTTCAATGCCTTCATGAATCATTTTTGAGTTGAATGATCCACACCACAGCATGTTATTGTATATTTGTGTGGTGTGTGTAGAGATGCACGCATTCCACAGATCTGTTACGACATGCTTACAGCAGTTAGCTTTACTATGAGACAACACCCCCACAGATGAAACCTGAAAATGACTCCGGGATATCCCACTTATTCAGCAGTGATCAGCTGCTTTTCATGCATCATGCATGTCATCATAGAATGAATGTTAACTGCTAAACCCAGGTGGAGTTCACTCATTTACTAGTCTAGCTACTTTCATTGCTCATTGACTTAAATGTCTTAAGTTCACACCAAAAGCAGGTCTGATTGGAAGAGGAACGATTATTCTAGTCTCTCATTACTTAGCACTGTTAATGTGTGACAGTTTGTAAAAAATAATAAAATTAATTTAAGTTTAATTGACATTAGAACATCCTGATCATTGTTATTAAATATGTGGTCTCAAATATGCAGTGGCAAAGAGAAAACTACACAGACAATAAAACTGTTTAGACGTCCTTGAAAATCTCATTGGGGACTGGCAGTTTATATTTGGCTTCACTGCATGGTAATAGCAAAATCCAAAGCCTTTGTTTCATAAAAGTTTCCTTTTATTCCATGAATTCCAGCTCAGGTGGGACTTTTTGTCTAGGCACATTTTTTGATGCAAATTAAATAGAATATAGGTCATGAACAGTGTCATGTGACGGCAGTCTGAGATAACTGAGACAACCAACGTTTATGAAAGACACAATTGTAGGCCAGTGTTTCATAGTGAACAAAGCACACTTCCGTTCAAAAGTTTGGGGTCAGTAAGACCTTTTTGGAATTCATACTTTTATTCAGTATAAATACTTTTTTAACTATTCGTAAAGGACATGTATCACAATTTCCATGAAAAATATTAAGAAGTAGGGCTGCACGATTAAGACAAAAATCATAATTGTCGATTATTCCCTTGAAATTGTAATTGCGATTAATTACGATTATCACAATTTACATTAAATGCTGTTTATACCATTGTTTGATGCAACCGCATGCCGTATTTTTATATGAAAATAAACAAGCTGAAAACACTTAACTGAAGGTGTGGCTGACTCTTAACTTTTATAAAGAATATCTCTTTGGATTTGAGACTTTAGTCTTTGCAACTTTACAGATCTTCTTTATGCACCAAGAGCTTGTAACACTCCAAAGAGAAAGGAAAAATTGAAATAGCATCATATGACCCCTTTAAATTATAAAAAGAGTAAAAATATGAATGGTATTATAATGTTATACTAAAATTAAAATAATGGGAAAAACCCTTAAGATAACATGTAGAAAGAAAAAAACGCATCTTAAGCGTGCAGAACAACATAAGTGGACTTTGAACGATTAATTGCCGCTTTGAACGATTACGTAATTGTGGCATCCATAACTGTTTTTAACATTGAAAATAATACGAAATGTTTCTTGTCCACCAAATCAGCATATTAGAATGATTTCTGAAGGATCATGTGACACTAAAGACGGGAATAATGATGACAAATTCAGGTTTGCATCACAGGAATAAATTGCATTTTAAAATTAATGTACAGTATGTGGAAAATAATGTGTTTTTTTTTACTTTAAACCGCATAAACACATTTCATTACACCAAATACACAAAATAATGTTCTTTTTAGCAGCATCATATGACCCCTTTAAAAACTCTCACCGACCCCAAACTTTTGATATAGTGTACTTCACATCAAGGGTAAACACTCTTTTGTCCCTAAGTCCTTTTATTTATTTTAAACAACTGTTTTTACACATAAATTAAGAGTATTTACTGAAATGCAATTCTAAAAATCCTATTGAAGGTTAATACTACTTACTGAATAATACTCACTGAATACAAAAATAATTATTGTGTTCTGCAAATATAGCGAGCTTTTGATGTTTCACCATTGGTTTCATTATAATTGCTCTAACCACATGGAATAGCATGTCCTATTATGCCTTCTACTTCCATCATCAGGCTTATTGTGTATCCAGTGTGCTGTGTCTTGGTTTAAAGTCAACACTGCTTACATTCTTAATACTCATTCCTGGTGTTATTGTGTATGGTTCGTCTATAGTCCTCTATTAACAGCTGCAACCTCACTTCTAGGACAAGTTCCATTCTAGTCATGGCCACTTTTCATGATTGAATCAGTTTACTATCTGAATATATTTTAAAATGCAATTTATTCCTGTGATGCAAAGATTAATTTTCAGCATCATTACTCCATATTTCTTTGAATAAAAATTTCAGTGAACAGCATTTATTTGAAATAGAAATCTTTTGTGACATTATAAATGTCTTGCTGGTACTTTTGATCAAGCATCCTTGCTGAATAAAAGTATTCATTTAATGTTTTGTATTGTTAAAGAACACATGACAATAATTAGTAACTACAGTAAAAAGTAAAAGCAGTCCTAATTTTCACAACTCACCCAAACATGGTGTCTATGATGGATG